CATCCGTTGGAGAGTCTGACCATCATTCAGCCGGGGATGCTACAAATATTATAGTGAATGTTTCAATTCTATCAATAAAGATTAAGCCCCAGAAAGCACATGGCTACTTAGCATGCAAAATGTCATTCTGCATGTTAAGTAGCCATGTGCTGTCGTGTTATCGGCTGAATCTTTATTTATTGATTAGATCACGTTACTCTGATGATAGTGTACAAGACAGCCTGTCTGAACTCGATCCTTAGAGTAATGTGTTACGGAGCCTTCTCTTCAATATTGTTTCCACATAACGAGCATTTAACGCTAGTCTTTTCCAATGTGGAAGCAGAAGGGTGTGAAAGCATACAGCACGATGAAGGGTGTGTCTCTAGACATCTTTAGACTGGAATAGCGGGGCCCAGTCCGTAAACTCGCCTCACAGGTGCACACGCCAGGATAGAGGACATCAGACTCCAGAGAAAATTAGCTTGAGTCCGAGTCCAAGTCGGAACGTCAATGTACAAGTCGAGTCCGAGTCATCGTGGGGGGAAAGATTCACGAGTCCAAGTCAGCGTACGCGATAATTCAGGAGCCGAGTCCGAGTCACCGTGCGCGAGAATTCACGAGGCCAAGTCCGAGTCGCGTCAATCAGCGTCCGAGTCGAGTCACGAGTCCCCCGAAAATCGGCACTCGAGTCCGACTCGAGTCCGAGTCCAGGACTCGAGTACTCCATCTCTGACATACAGACACACACAAACACACACATTTTCTCAGCTGATACCACTCTTCCACATCCATACCAACACACCTACATCATAGTTGCATACATGTATTCCAATGGCTGGCAGGGCCCCATTATACAACAGGCCCAGAAACCAAGAAATGACAAGCATGTCATTCAATGGTAAAATGTCACATCTGGTGATATACAGTAAAAATGAAAAATTGAACTATTTTCTTCCAAAATAAAACCCTGTGGTGACCACTGTTTTACATAATTAAATCTAGGAACTACAGGCTGGGGGTATTGTTCTGCACGGACACTATTGCTTACGGTACCTCCTGTGTACTTACTGCGTGCCCTTCTTTTCTTAGCTCTCTTGTCGTCCCGGGCTGCGACCCGACAACATGTCCTTTGGAGCTCTTGAATAAAGACAACTTTGCACCTTCATTGCACCACCTTCGACTCCCTATCTCTCGGCGCTACAACCCTGACATTACAAAATGCATGATTATATACCGGTATGGCGGAGAGATCAAAATATGTGGTTATAATGGGAGTGAATGGGAATGTTTTGTCCGCGAGTGTCTAATGTGGGAGTTTTTTTGTTTAATCTGATTCTGAGCAAAAACTAATAATGCACTAAAATCAATGTTGTAGCTAGTCTTCCGAGACTGTTATAAAAAAAAAGCCAACCCCCCAACATTTATTATATGGAAAATATCTGCCTTTTTGTGCACGTTTTTCATAGAAAACGCAAATTCATGTTTTCAAATTGGCAGTTAAAGGGTTAAAATCCTGAAAATAATTTAATATTTGTGATTAGGGCTGAAGTTGCATTAAAGATTAAACCCAAAAAAGTGGTTTAAAAAATATTTTAATATAATGTTTTTATCAAAGTCTTTTGCAGTGGACATTGTTGTCCCGAATGGTCAATTAGCGTAGTCGATTTGTTACACAGTGAATTAAAGGCCCATTTGAAAATGTTCAATTGGAATTCCAAAATAAATCGAGAAATAGCCTTGTTACAAATAAGCAGGCCATTTTCACCAACACAACCAAAGTTATTGCCAAATGAAATGTGAAAAATGTTCAAAAACGTCCACAGGGAGGGTTAACAAAAATAACCAATACATATATATAATATCAGGACATAAAACATAATAGTATACAATTAAAACAAAGTTTATTAAGTTGTTATTATATGCAACTGATCTTGGTAGACAGGGTAGAAGATGCAGAGAATAAGACGAGGTACCAGCAACCAGTAGGGTTACAAGTGGGGGGTCATAGAAATCTTTGTATACATTGTTTAATGATCGGTTATGAAAGTAGAGCAACATCTGCCATTCATCTTCTTTACAAATATAATGATGTCATTAATATGCGTAATATAGCAACTAACAAATATCATAGAATGAGATCAGTCTTAAATAGCATAACGTGGACAACTAAAAATCGTATCTAAGAACAGTACTCGAGTAAATGTCCCCCACTGTATGGTGTGTCCAAACAGATTATTATCCAGAAAGACTACAGACAGAGGGAGACATACATGTTATTGTGAAAGATTACATGGGAAGTCCACTGCCAACATTAATTTGGTTTTGGACAATGGTTCCTACTAAATGCTTTCTGCAAATGCTCCTGATGTCCCTCAGAGACTTCTTGGTGAGGGCAGTAAACGGATTAGGGCTCTCAGCTCATTCCTGTCACTCTGCTATTTATCAAGAGTCCCCACAGAATGTGGAGCGCCTCGCGGTGCGCTCCTCCCTTCAGAGGGTGTTTCCAGTGAGGTTCGAAGCTACTTTAACTACATGAAAGCCAGTTGTCATCTTAACGACCCCCTTAGTGTGGAGCCAGTTTATTTCAATGGATGAAATGGCCAATGGCCCCATCTACAGGTCACAGAGGAAAACCGCACAAGTGGCTGTTTCTATAAAGCAGCGGTCTCAAACTCCTTTTAGTTGAGGGGCCACATACATCTCAAGTGGGCCGGACCAGTAAAATAATAGCATTATAACCATTTCCCACCCATTCACATGAACATAAGTTACGCTTCCATATTTTCACACCACATATTTTAATGCCATTTCACCCCAGCTGTGCCCTATATTTCATTATCACTTACTTGAGCAGTTATTTTGATCATCAATCTACTTTTTGTTAAGCCAATGGTAAGAAAATCACAAAAATATATTCAGTTAACTATATATTTAGCAGACAAGCTAAAGCCATAGTATCTTTTTTTCATTATAAGTTGTTGAAACAAATATTTATTAAAATATGATTTTCTTTATATGTTTTTGATCAAGTAATTTGTTCAGGTCTATACCCCTGATTAAATAAAGGTAGAAATAATAATAACAGTGTGTGTTGTTCGCTCGATGTGAAAAGAGGATTTGCTGTGAAATAAAATCCGTACTGTATTGCTCTGTTTGGGATGTTTCAGGAATGACTGGATCAACGTTGGCCTCTGTTACCCACAAGGCACCACTTTCACCGTCATCGCCGACATCCACAACCGCCTGGCCAAGCAGACCCGCAAGACCGGCGTCTTCATGAGGACCACACAGATGGACAAGGTCAACCACTCCCAGCTGGCCCGAGGATACTACTACTGGGAGGAGGACACTGGGTCAGAGACACACACACACACACACACACACACACACACACACACACACACACACACACACACACACACACACACACACACACACACACACACACACACACACACACAAGCCCGAAAACTGTTGGTGGCCCATGCCGTTGGTGTGCTCCCTGTTATCGGACCTCACTTAGTATCAAATACAAATAAACACACACAGAAACACAAATACTAACACACAACACTACATTAGTTTGCCTCACACAAGAAAAGATTACTGATAACACTATTATAAACCATTATAAACCATAATAAAGGGGGATATTTCTAATGAAAAACAAAAAATGTTATGTATTAGGGAATTGTCTTCTAATGAAGAATTAGTTTTCATGTAACTATAAGATATTTGCTGAAAATGATGTGTGGAGATTTATATTTATGAGATACATATGTTTTTATGATTATTCAAAAGATGATATGTGTTTATAACAAAGCTTTCCTGTGTGTTGCAGTCTGCTCTTCCTGAAGGTGAAGGCTCACAACGAGAGGGAGCAGTTTGCCTTCTGCTCTGCAAAGGGCTGTGAGAGGGTGAAGATCACCGCCGTCATCCCCAAAGGCAGCCCCCCCAGCAACTGCATGGCCCAGGCCTACCCCCGACACGCTGAGATGCCCGTTGTGGATGTGCCCATGCCCAGAAAGATACCTAATGCCAGGCTGGTGAGAATATATTTCACATTGCTGTAAATAAAGGCAGTTGTAGTGGCAGTACTGTTCATGCCTTCAGAAGAACATCAACCCTTAAAGGCATGCAAAATCAATATTACACCCTATTGTACCCATCTTACACCGTAATTACACTGTTATTACAACCATATTACAAATGGACCCAGCCTGTCAAATGAATGTATGGCCCAGGATACAGAAACCATTTAAGGGTTAACCAACTCGCATGGTAGTATTGTCTAAATTTTTCTCTGAAAATAAGAAACAAATAACAAAAAAAAGAAACAAACAATTGTTTAAAACTTTGTAGGCATGTACATCCGTAGAAATAAAATGTAATGAATGCCCATTTTTTGCAACCTTATTTACATCCTCTTCAACTCTACATCCAGCCACTTTCTTGCTTTTTTAAATTTGTGTTGCTACTCAAATCTTAATGTAAAATCATTCTCTTAGCTCTGTGATTGAAAGTGTGGCGAGTGAGTGTTTAAATTGCTTCTGTGAAATGCCAAATGTTGTGCATTAATTCCAACTCTGTTTATTTGCCTGTTTACTCTCAGCAATCACCAGAACACTTCCTGGAAGTCATCCTGGAGTCCTACAGCACTCGGTTCTTCCACATCAAGGAGGACTTTGCCTTTACTGAGGTATAATCTTTTTGTCATACACACAAGCACTTTGGCTGAAGACTGCAACCAATGGTTACGGGCTACAGAACAGAAATGCTGACAATGTACAATATTTAGAGAGCGTCATAGAGGGACACAATTTCCCTTGTGCACCCATGACATATAGCCACTTCAACATTAATGCAATGTTTAGTTCTGTCCTGTAGTGTAATCGAGTGGCTCTGTTGTGACAGGTGAACGGCAAGAAGATGTACCAACCAGAAGACGGGGTGCAGCTGACAGTAATTGACGGGCATGATGGGAAGTTGGTGGAGAACAAAAGCTTCAGGAACTCCATCCTACAGGGCATCCCTGCACAGATAGACAACTACGTCAGCGGACTGAGAGACGGGTAAACACCAGTTTCTGTTCAACTACAATACAGCAGCAGCAGCATTTTCAGTGGTGGACAGTACTTTTACTCAAGTATTGTTTGTAACTTACAAATTGTAAGTGCAAAAAGAGTAACCTGCACTTTACTCCACTACAACTCAATGGGATTTCAAAAAAACCCTCTCTGTCTCTCTTAATCTTTCTTCAGTTCCATCGTCCTCATTACGTCCAAGGGCCGGCTGCTGACCCGAGGACCCTGGACCAAAGTCCTGGAAAGACTTGGAGCAGACAAAAGTATCAAATTGAAAGGTATCTATAAGTTTAACAAGGTCTACGGAGATACATTTGCCCAGTGGCTACAATGTACGTTAAATACATTGATAAAAACATATAGCATTTTCAACAGAAATGCAGCTGATGGCCCTGTTGTTTTATTGGTTGCATTTTAACCAGGTCCAAATATTACTATTTGAATATTATTAATCGTCAGCAGTTGTAAAAGGAGACAACCTGGCCGCCAAAACTGTCTTTGTTGAATTACAAGTACACATCCATCAAAAAACTGCGGAACCAAAAGGAAGGAATACTCATATCTGATCAAGCAAAAGGACATTCATAGATCAACGCTAAAACACCCTTGCGCCCTGAGGATTCCACAAGCTGTTTTTGTTTTTCCTACAGATAAAATGGCTTTCGTGGGCTTCAAGGGCTCCTTCCACCCTGACTGGATCCGTATGGAAGTACACTCCGAGCGAGCCAAGATCCATCAGGTGCTGCCCATCCCTGTGGTCCACAAGTTGAAGCTATGAGAGTGGGGAGGACAACCAAGAGACTAAGTAGCCCCCAGGATACACTAAACACAATTCCACCCCCACCACCTCCTATCCCCCCCAAAATGCGCCCACGTACACATACACACTACCAGCACTGCATAGTCAGTTGCTCCAAGCCATTGTCCAGGACCAGTGGCGTGTTTTTATTTTAAGTTTGGCGGTGAGAAAGAATGATGTGATTCTGTGTAATGTAAAGGGGATTAAGCTGTCCCAGGGACAGCGATGAAGTGTGTCAGAGTGGGTAAGAGATTCAGTAGAGGGATTCTCTGGCGGCCATATTGTATTCTAACAGCTAAACTAACAGTGGCACAGAACAGACCAAGGAAGTGCGTTGGCAGTAGAAGGGAATTTTTTGTCATGTCCAAACGGTGGTACTACATCTGTCGTTTCAGTCCGTGACGTCGTTGACCCCAAAAAAAGTGTTCCAATTGACTTGAACTACCCAGTACAACGACTTTTCTAGTCATTATTTACATCATTGAGTCTAGAAGTTATAACATGCGCAACAATCTGAAGCCAGTTATTTTCCCTCTATTCATTTGAATGAGCCGAGAGCGGGTAATCGGAGGACCCTTAAAGACAACTCAAGTAGTCTAGCGGCCAAAGTCGCCGGTCACTCTCTGAATCTCCAGTTGCTCCATTTTGTGCTTAATGTGCCACTGAGCAACTTTAAAAGGAATGAACAGGGTCTTGAATCCGACGGTGTTTCCAGGTCTCTTCATACATCCATGGATTAATAAGCCTGATTGTTTTTCCATAACATTTTATTGTTATCTTTATCTCATAGAAGTATTTTGTTGACCTTATTTTAGCTTGTGAGCTAAAGTAAATATGTGTTCAACATAAAGGTGCACCTTGTAAAGCTTTGATATAGAAACATAGACAGTCCTCTAAAAGACTTCACTATTGATTTACCCCAGCAGTCTGACATCTACAGCCACATGTTGATACCCTGTGGTGTGGTAGTCACTGTTAGAAAGAGCTGTTTGGTGATGTATATGGTCGAGCTTTGCATGAAATGATCTAGTTCCTACAATGTGTTGTTTTGAACCTGTCTAAATGCAAAATGGAAGTCTTTCAGTGGAGGGTGAAGATCAGTGGAGGGCGAAGACTTTGCAGAAGAGCGAGATGTGATAGTTTTCAAAGTGTTGATAAACACACACTTTCGGCCATTCTCTTCTGAAAGGCATTTATTGCCTGGAACAGAACAGAGTGAAAAATGATAAAGTCTCACACCTCTGCAAACACCAAGTCAATCACTGGTTGAATTGAAGGTGATTGTTGGTTGTGGAAAGTCACAGACATAGTCAGCGTGTAGGTAGGGCGATTTACACGGTGTGAACATCAAACCTTTTTACTCCATACCGATGGCACAGTTATACGATGCTGTGAGAAGATAGAACTAATTGAGGGAAGAATGAAAAAAAAGAGAACTTGAGAGAAATGACAGTGATTGGATGGGTTTATTACATTCCAAATAAGGGAAGACATTGGCAGATGTAGGGTATAGTGCTCAACGAGAGATTGAGTGTTGTACCCTTAAAAGGAGCAAAATCGGCCAGATGCCCCTTCCTCGACCACATCCTTCAGCTTTTCATGGTAATCAAGAAGATTTAGCAGGCCTGATGTATAAACCCTACATCATGCTCTGGGTGAAATACCTCCAGATCAAAAGCCTCAACTAGCTAAATTGACTTCTTTCAAGAGCACCAATGAACAGACAAAGCACATGGAATAGGGAAGGCTGTTGCCATAATAGAGCAACGTACAACCAAGAGGGATTCTCGATGGAGAGAAAGTCCCTTTGGAGGAACACAGGGATTTCAGCCTTTGTAGTACCTTTACATGCACACAAACCTATAGATCACACCCCAAACGCAAAGTGAGGCCTTTAAATGCAGGACTTTGACTTGAGTATTTCTAAAACTGTGGTATGACTACTTTTACCGAAGTAAAAGAGCTGAGTATTATGTCTCGTAAAAAAATAGTTGTATAATTGAGGTTTCATTAGAGGAAGATAACAACAACAAAAATATGAGATTATTCACATTTATTCATTTATATTGATCATTTAACAACAAATATTTCCAAGAGTCTGTTTCCATCCTGGTTGTTTGATACTTGTTTAATGACTGGCTGATTCTCCAATAGACCGTCAGTTGCTTGGCGTTTTGATGATGCGACTGCAAGCCTGTATACGAGCAGAGGGAGCAATGCTACGAGCGTGAGCTAGCTAATCTAACGCATGTCTAGGGTTTGTACTTCAGCGAGCATCTTCCCATGCAGGGACTCTGTGGTGTGGAGTGTTTCTTTGCTTGGTTATATGCCTGCTTTGTTTGAAAAAAACTGTTAAAAGAGAGAAAAGAGAAGAAGAAGAAACAAAAAGAGAAATGTTAAGTGTTTTGCATCCAGACCCGTGGTTGTTTACCTGTTTCATTCCGAGCACTTGATATTGTGATGTTCTCCTCCAGTGTTTTTTCTATATCTGTGGATGTGATCCATCGTTCTGTGGAGTGAACCAGCAAGAAGTCCATCGAAATATAAAAGATTCAATTAAATGTTAAGTCAAGGAATGTTTAAATGTGCAATTTTCTCTTTTCAAACTTACAAAGAGATCTTTCTTTCAGTTTGGCGGTCAAAATAAATCCCCTCCCCATGCCGAAATAGCTGGTCTTTTTTCGGATGTCGTCACAGTAATTTAGTGTTTTGTATGTTTAATGTGTTTTTAAAAATCCACAGATTGCTAAGAGTTATATTTTATACTTATTTATTGTACAGACACAGTGTATCCAATCTACAAGGGCCAGCTTGTATTTGATGAACATACCTGCATTTGATTTCATACTGTCCTGTATGTACAGTGTATGTAAGAAACCATATAGATCCATTTAAAGGTTTGTAGCAGACACTCATACTGCATACAGGAATATGACACTTGGTATAGTTGGCTTCTTCTCACTGTTCACCTGGATGTGTTGTATATGTTGCTTGGGCTTGTAAAGTAATGAAGCTCCATTTTTTTGAATTTCTTTCAGGACTTTTGTACAGAAATAAATGATGTTTGTCTGAATGACGCTGTGTCTGCACATGTATTTATCCAAAACAAAAGCAAAATACCACAGTGTCTTCTTGAAAAAAGTGTAATATGTGTATCATGTTTCCTACTCTCAGCAGCAGGTGGGGGTAAATCACAGATCAGAAGGACCAGGGACTATTTACTCACTGCATTACACATAATATTGCAAAGCACACAGCAAAAACAAACAAGAAAATGGGAAGGTTGTAAACAACTTAAAAAACTGATTTCAGCCCCCACTTCAAATAGTCATTAATCCACCATCATGAAATCCGTCAAATAAAATGTTCTGTAATTTCTCATTCAGCTGTTTAGGTTATGTGAACAATATGTCAATTTTGTTACTATAGGAACAGGTCTTCTTGAATAATTAAAATAAGAAAATCAATATAAGTAAAAAGCAGAGGTCGTAGAAGTACTCAGATTTTGTACTTAAGTAGAAGAACCAGAGTGTAAAGTAAAAGTCCGACATTCAAAATGTTCCTCAAGTAAAAGTAGAAAAGTATTCTCATCAAAATATAGTGAAAGTAGCGACAGTAAAAGTAGTCATTGTGCAGATTGGTCCATTTCAGAATAATATATATGATATGTTTTATAATCATTGATCATGAAAGTGTTCTCAAAGCTGGTAAAGGTGCAGCTAGTTTGAATGACAATAGCCGCGTTCACACTGGAGAACTTTTCCCGTTTTAGTTCCGATATAGTTGCGAAATGTCACGTTCACACCAAAAAGAGCCGGAACTAAAATGAGTTCATGAGAACCTTTTTACCCCCTTTTCCGTCCCTGCTAGAGAGCAGGGACTCTCATGCGGCTCTCTCGTGAGAAAAGAGCTATATTTCTGATTGACTGGGCGGATTTCAAACCACGCCCCGTAAAACTCAAAAAAAGTGTTGTGAAGCCACGATTTTATTATCCTCGCATTAGCATTATTAGCATTAGCATTAGCCCAGCGCAGAAACACAGAGAGACTAACTTATGGCAACACAAAATAAAACATGGGAGCGGTGGAGATGAGGAGGTGTCGGCGTTCTGGCGATTTACTCGGAAAGCTTCAGTAGAAGCTGCTGGGAGTCCCAGCAGCTTCTACTGAAGCCAGTCCCCAACTCCGGGGACTTCCGGCCGGGGATTTTGGGCGGCAGTATACGCCGTGAAGTTGTTTGCGGCCTGCCAGTAAACCCAAAGCAGAAGAAGAAAGAAGAAGAAAGTGACGTCAGCGCTTCATTGGCCTAAATCACCCCCAGGGACTTATTCCGGTGTGAACGCGATCTGTACTTAGTTCATCAGAACTAAAGAGTTCTGATGAACTAAGTTCTCAGGAACCTTTGTGGGAAAAGTACTGCGGTGTGAAAGCGCCTTTTGTTTACTGCAGGGTAGCTTGGGAATTTACTCCAGGTGGAACTAAAGTCTGATTTAGGACTTGTTTATATTTCACGTCATTCATCCAAATCTGTAAAGTAACCAAAGGTATTAAATACATGTAGTGGAGTAAAAGTACACCATGTACCTCTGAATTGTAGAGGAGTAGAAGTACACAGTAGCAAGAAATGGAAATTAGTACAAGTATCTCAACATTTTACTTAAGTGTAGTACTTGAGTAAATGTACTTAGTTACTTCCCCCCTGTGGTAAAAAGCACTGAGCATGGTTCCCAAGAACAACGCTGTGTAGATACACCAATCATCATGCTACACCACCCGGAGGAAAGGTCCAGTCCTGACCCACTGCTCTTCTCCCTGGCTGATCTGCCTGTAGGTGACCATCTGGCCTCTGCAGCTATATTACAAAGCAGCAGCTCAATGGTTTTCAACCCATAAGTTATCCCACAGCACACTGCTCCTTGACTACCTTTACTATCTGCCCGAATCCACTTCAAGGCACTGGTACTATCCTACCAAAAAAAAACTTGAAGAGTTTAGCCCATTTTAAACTTATGCAATAGTACTTGGTTTGGCTTTTATGAAGTGAATATACCTGCATTAACACCTAAATAAAATTAGGGTTAAAATTCGACTGGCCAGTAGATTTTCAATACCACTGGCCCAGGAGCAGTCCTTAAACATACCTTGTCTGACCAGTCATGTGGAGCGCTCTGATACCTGGCCCTAGAACAGTGGAGAGTCCCTAAACAAGCACAAATCTCACATCTGATCTGCTACTTGAATATCATATGTAGATAAATATATAGCCACTATAACTAGCTACTATATATTTCTATAAAGCAATTGTTCATATTTGGTTTCCTAAAATAATTATATTGTGGTCATTGTTGACGGTGACATTTCTGCTATGAGTTTTATTATTTTTTAAATGCGCTTTCTGCTTTCCTTTGGTTATCAGGAGGTAGACATATAATGGCTAAGTAATGAGTTATAGTAGCCTATAACATTCATTATCCTAAACTGCTGGGACATTTCCCTATACCGAATATACCTTTATATTTTCTACTCTTCACTGACTTGTCAGCAGGTCAGCATTGATGTACAGAGCCGAAAAAAGACCTTGTTTATATTGGCATCAAACCTATCAAGCCAGTGTGGCTGAAACTTTCTCTCCCTCTTCTTCTCATACTCCCTGTCACTCTCATTTAACTCCTCCGGTGAAAGCTCTGCCTTTCATCCAATACCGACGTCCGCCTCACAAAATGCTATGTTGTAGCAGTAACAACAATTTAACAAAACTGCTTGTCAAAATACCAATACCACAGGTCAATGTGAATTTTTGTCTTACTGTTATAATTTTAAGTAATATTTTGAGTGGCCCGAGCAGGCAAGTGGAAGGTACGTTCAGCTGGCCCGGGGTGTTTAATCAGTGCCTCCGGGCCTGAGGGCCATTTATAATGTCGAGCTCTGAGATGGAATTTAATGGATCGACATCATTCAGCATAATGCATAAGGTGATGTGTCTTTTGTATCAATGTACTTAAAGTGATATTTAGAAGTGAAAATTAGAGTGCAATTCACTTACACACCGCAATGGGGAATATGGACAGCAGTACAAAAGCTATATTTTTTATTACCTTAGTATAGAAAACTTTCCCATCAAACAGGAAAAATAAGTTTCTTCACAGGCCTGACTGAGTCATGTCGAAACAGAAAAACCATGACAGTTACCAGACAACACACACCTTTTTGTCTAATAACTTAGCCCTGGCTCAGGATGAACACAGCCAATCAGATACTTTAGAATGTTCAGTTTTAGACTACACAATGAAGGACATCTCATGTGATTGTATAAAAAAATGTTTTATTCTCATATTCTGTGAAAAATCAAACAGAAATGCAGGTGCTACTTGTGTGTGAAATATTGAAATGCTGCTGGATGTGAACAAACACAACACACACCAAGAGCTGCAGGTCTGATCAATAACTAGAATGTGTCTACAGGAGACACTTCATTCACTCAACATGGCTTTTGTCACAGAAAGAAATGAAAAAGGTTTATAATTGTTGCCACGAGTACCTTTCAAAACAACATAAAAAGTAATTGATTTCATCTGACGATATTAGGACAACAACAAGTAACTAAAGGAACCAGACAGCACTGATTTTAAAGAGCATTTCACTCTGTGGCAGAAAAATGATTTCCAAAATGTTCTTGTCCGAGGACCCGGAAAAGGCATCGTCACATGCTCCTGCAGCCCATCACCACGGGACAGAAGACCCTGTGAGTCCTCACTCTGCGTGCCGTTCCATCACAGCTCCTGTTTCAGATGGCCGGCGCTGTTTCCCTCCAGGTCGGGCTTCTTGCTCTCAGACTTCTTCTTGCCCTTCTTCTTAGTGTTGACTTCATTGGGCTGCTTGTCTTTGCTGTCGTCCTTTTTGCCGGCCTTCCCGGGGAACACTTGTCCCTCCACGGTGACGTCCGCGCAGCGCTCCTGGGAGATCAGGAAGTCTTTAACCTCCCAGGCGTAGCTGCCGTCCCGCAGCATGAAGATCACCCTGTTGGAGCCCACCACGAACCTGCAGGGGGACACGGAGGAAACACAGAACTTATATGATGCTCCTGTGATATGCTATGTTTGAATAAGAAGTGAGGAGAATAGTAATAACACCCCGAAATGAGTTAGCACTTCCTGTCTCGAAGTCTGTTTTTTGTACATGTTTTGGGTTAGATACCAAAAATAAGGTCTGTGGTTACCACAAGCCGACAAGGTTCTGTTTTCTGACATAAAGTACAAAAGTAACGTACAACACTCATGAATATCTGAAGCTTTTATCCTGGTTGCTAGTAAGTGACTAAATGAGACTACTAAATATCATTACGTCTAACATTAGCCACCTTTAGCTTAGTGGTGGTGATAAACTATAGGGATGCGTGTGGCGCAGTGGGATAGTGCGCTGATCTTCGAATCAGAGGATAGCCAGTTTGAGTCCCACTGCAGTCAGCATGTCGTTCACCCCAAACTGCTCCTGTGGGGATTGCCCACAGTACTGAGTGTGCAAGTCGCTTTGGATAAAAGCGTCTAACAAGTGACATGTAATGTAATAAACATGACCGTGATGCAGTTTGTTTATAGCCTTATTATTTGTT